GGACAGAGACCTGACATTTAACAGTCCCACATTTTCATTCCTCTCATTTTGTGCTACTGCAGGCAGTTAGTTTTTAATTTTTATTAGATTTTCATGTTTGATTCCTCCTTGATTTTATTTCTTTAATAACTAACAATCCGTTGAATTCTGCAAACCATTAAATCATTTAACTGGAATAAAATGTTACTGAGCTACCTCCATCATTATCAAAGATCTCTACCCAAGAGCCATTGAAGTATTACCTCTAGCTCTCTTAATGTATCCAAGGGTGTGCCACAGGGGTCGGTTCTAGGACCTTTATTTATTTACTATTTACATTAATTGTCTGGATTGTAAAGCCCTGAACACAATTTCCTCACTTTTATGCCCGATGACACAGTGATACTATTCGCTCTCTCCTCTTTTAAACCTCATATCCAGCAGCTTTTGAAAAAACTAAAGCTAAAATTAGGTTTTTCACTTTTAAAACAAATCTTGTTTTTCTTTTGAAGCCAAAAAAAGACTTTTTGTCCCTTCCTTTTTGTCTGTGTTGGACTATTGGTGATGTTTTTATATATGAATGCATCTTCAAAATGTCCTTACAGTCTTTGGACAGGGTCTATCACGGGAGCACTGAGATTTGTTACTAATTTTAAACCCTCACGCCACCACTTCTCTTTGTATGCTCGAGTTGGATGGTTTGCCCTCTGTCCACCCGCAGACTCCCATCCATTGGCATATCCCTAATTTTATAAAATATCCTCGGTGTTCTTTCCTACATACCTGCAGAAGTTATTGTAATTCAGAAAAGCACAGGAACTTTTTCAGCTCGTCTGAGGACTTGTTTTTACTGACTGTGCCTAGAGTTCCATTACTGAACTGGGGAAAGGGCTTTTTAGTTTATGCTGCTTCCTTTTTTCATGAACCAGCTGCAAAATGTGCCTAAAACCTTAAGGAGCTTTGGTTTTCTATAAACAAGTTTAATCTTTTCTTAGTATGTTGACTGTGCTCTTCTGTCTCTGTTACATGAATTTGTTTGATGATGTTTCTGACTTGTGACTCTATTTATATGTTCTTTTGTTTTTTTAAATGATTGTCTGTAACTGTTGGAACTTGTGTTGCTGCCTGTCTTGCCAGGATCTCCTTGTAAAAGAGATTTTTAATCCTCAATGGACTTCTCCTGGTTAAATTAAAGGTTTAACATAAAAAATAATAAAAAATAAAATAAAATATAGGATAGAGATTGTAAAACCTCCTTTAATCTTCTTTTCAACTTCATTTGTTGACTCCGTCCTTGTGGTTGGTGCTAGCTGAACCGGGGACCCGCAGTTTGTTGTTGGTGACCTGTGAGATTTAAATCCTGTGGGACCCAATCACAGTGCTCTGTCAGAGCTGCAGGTGTGTGTGATTGATGAATCTCTGAACGCTCACAGCTGTGACATTGTTCTTCGGGACCTGTCGAGTGGTGATTCAGGTCTGGTTCGAGACCTAGGTGACGGAGTGAAGGATCGTTTGTGTGAGCTGGTTTTTATTGTTTGGGTTCAGGAGACAAAATCAGTGAAGCTTTATTAATCCTCCTGAGACACTTTGACCTCAGCGTCTGACCCTCCTGACGGCGGCCGTGAGTATGAATAATGTGTTTGCATATGTGGACATATGGGCTTGTTTCTGGTTAAATAATATCTGGATTGTTTCCCTCTGATGATGAGGACACTTCTACCGTCTCCTCCTCGCTGCTGTCTCTGATTGTCTCATCTATTTTATCTTCTGTCTCATCTCTGAGTAATTCTTTCTTTCTGCTGTTGAATCAGAAATTGTCCTGCCCTAACAGACGGCCTCTCGACCTCTCTGTTATTGCCACGTAATTTAAAAAGCCATCAGTGCTGGAGCTGGCCGCGGCCTTTATAGCTCTACAGCACTGTGAGAGGATGTGATATCTTTCTCTGCCTGGAAACGGGCTGTTCAGTGTTTTCAGGTCTCTGTTGTTTATTCAGATGCTGCCGTTGTTGCTGTGAGGAGCTGATACATTGATCAGAGTGATGTTTTCAGTTCAGTGTGAAGGTTTCACAAATTCTGTGTGAGTCTTTGTGAGCGGAGACAATCAGTTGGATTCAGAAATTAAAAGATGAATTAAAGAACTGTGTATTTATTGGTGGGCAACGTTCAATATGACAGTTAAACTGCAGCCTGTTGGTGGTTATTGGGAGCTCCTTAGATAGGAACTGTGGAAGGTGGATTTCTCTTTCTATCAGCAGTAAGTAAGCAGGTCACTATCTGACCATTTATAAACCGGTGGCCCGCCAGAGTAAATGTATGTGTCCCAAACTGAATAACCTTCCTGTGGAATACTATAGATCAGCTCTTCTGATCCGCAATTATAGAAATCACTGATCAAACTAATGAGCGCGAATATCGGCCGATTATGATGGTTGTTGTCGCTCCCCTGGTTTCTGTATGGTTAATGTTGCTCCACTGGTTTCTGTATAGTTGACATTGCTCCACTGGTTTCTGTATAGTTGACATTGCGCCACTGGTTTCTGTATGGTTGACATTGCTCCACTGGTTTCTGTATAGTTGACATTGCGCCACTGGTTTCTGTATGGTTGATGTTGCTCCAATAGTTTCTGTATAGTTGATGTTGCTCCACTGGTTTCTGTATGGTTGATGTTGCTCCACTGGTTTCTGTATGGTTGATGTTGCTCCACTGGTTTCTGTCATGGTTGATGTTGCTCCACTGGTTTCTGTGTTGCTGATGTTGCTCCACTGGTTTCTGGAGCCTCCTCTCTGGTGTTGCAGCGGGTCGTCAGACGTGTTGTAGTTGTAGAGTAATGACAGATTTGATGGCCGTTGACTCGTGTTAATCTCACAGTGGACGACAACCGACGCCTCACAACGTCCAGGTTGTTTATTCATAAACAGAAAGACTCAACTACGTGTTGTTGACGTTGACCAATAATAGCGTTGGTCTGCTGTAAATGGTGAAGTGAAGGAGGAATAATGTGAACTGTGGAAAAGAGGAAAGGACACCTCTTTACAACCCCAGACAGCCAGTGTCGTACAGACATGACCATCATAAAGATAAATAAACTGACTCTGTTGAAACAAGAACTTTCAGGCCTGTAAAATGAACATATTATACAGAGCTGACCATTTCTAAACTGTACAAAGAAAATCAACCAACTCACTGACCTGGAGAGAGTTTAAATATGGTCAGATACAGCAGCACTGACACAGTGTACAGGTCAGCAGACAGTATGCTTATTCACAGCTTCTGATTCTTAGAACAGGTTTCAGGTAAAAGAGCATCAATTAGTATTATTACTGTTATAATATATAATAATATTGTAATAACATACAATAAAAGAGTATTATTATGATAAATGTTTCTTCCAGATGGTGGTGGTGTCAGATGATGTCCATGAGTACGCCGTCGCACTGAAGGACACCGAGGAGAAGATTGCACGATGCCCCGCCAGAGTAATACTTTACATTTGATCTGTCCAGAGTTTGTTGTTCATTAGGAGCAGTTGATCTCAGCTGCTGACCAACTGCAGTGACTTCCTGTAGTTACACCTGTACCTTTCCCTCCCTCTGAGGGCTCTAGAAACCTCTGCACTCATGTTACATTATCTGTCAGATTATCAGCCTCTATCAGCTGCATGCTTCTTCTGAAGTCGGATACTTTTTGTTTGTCGGTGCTCCGTTGAAGATAATTGGCCATGCTCCTGTCAGCTCACCTGTCGGCTCCTGATAGCTCGTCTCATTAGCTTCACGCTCGACACCAGCTAACGCGACAGTAACGTGATTAGTTCTGCAATTATCAGTAGAGACACAGTCAACAAATCAGGGTTTGTATATTTGTGGTCCTGACAGTGTAAACGAACCATCTGTTGGTGTGAATGGCCAAAATAAGTGCCAATTATATGATTTTATAATCATTTATATTATAATAATTGCAATTAACTTTGTTTCCTTGACGCCGTCCACATCAGTGCCAGCAGTGTTTTCTTCCTGTTCCAGGCTTCAGAAATATAATCAGATAGTAGTGACGGTCATGTGAGATAACTGTGATTTCTGCCCTTCAGAGACCAGACATCCTGGAGGAGCTCCAGAAAAGCCAGAAGGTTTTTGCAGAGAAGCTGAACCACCTGAGTAGAAGACTGGCCTGGATCAATGCCACCATCTACTCCAAGGTGACCCAGATCCTCCCGCTCTCTCTGGAAACTGAGAAAACATCACAGTTATTGATGCTGTGTGGTTTTAAATTGTGTTTTTTATACTTGATTTTGTGTGGAGCTCAGGGAGATAGTGACCACTTCAGGGGAGCTAATAAAGACTAAAGAGTCTGTCTGTCTGTCTGTCAGGACAAGATGCTGGATGTGTACTGGCTGCTTTGTGTTTGTATTCGGACCATCGAACACGCCGACAACACCGGCTCTTTGTTCGCCTTCTGTCCAGAGTTCTACCTCAATGTGGCCATGAATGCGTACAGCGCCCTCAAGAACTACTTCAGCCCTGCAAACAGCATGGAGGAGCTACCAGGTAAAAGTCCCATAAGTTAGACTGTGAATCATTTTATGTGTGAGTCAGTGTGTGTGTATCAGTGTGTGTGTATCAGTGTGTGTGAGCAGACAGTGAACAGG